GCGTTTCTTTTACCGCAAATTGCGGTAAAAACGTGCGGCAAACACGCATATTCCGTACGCCCAGGTGTGAACCCAGGGTAACAGGGAGAAAGAATGAATGGACTACAAGTGCTGTGATGTCAAAGGATCTGTGAATGGATGGGCAGAGCCACGCACAGCGGCACCAATTTAAAATATGTACACAAGCCTGCAAGGAGAAGAACCCCATAATTCAGGTAAGTGCAGGGGGGGCTGGGGAGGGTAGGAGGGGGGTTAGAGGGCTGCGATCTGACCATGTTTCATATCACACCCTGAATATGTACCGTAAGTAACATGAAACAAAAGAAGCCTATGCATCATTTTCAGCTACGAGCTTCACGTGTTACCACTGGTTTGTGCGCATTTGGGGTGCTATTAACAAGTAATGGTACCACAAGCATGTTTTTGGCGTGTTGCGTGAACGTGCACCAACGCGCGTGCATTACGCACTTTTACTTATGTAGCTATAAGCTAGTGTATGATCTCATTAAAACTTGGGAGCCACTTGGTTTAGTGGTGAAACATCTTCAACAGGACAAGTCCAGCTGAATGTGTCTAAAGGTGCCCATACACCTTACGAATATCGGCCGATTTTTGTATGCGATCGCGTTTTCGTCCGATATTCGTAAGGTTGATGGGCAGTGTACAACCTCAAATATTGTACATTTGATCGACCTTTGACTAACCAGCAGGTTAGAAAACTTTGGTCGATCGTGCAATCTACACTGCACGTGCGCAGAAGACGAAAATACCTGCGGTCATTAACCGCAATTCGTCCTGGTGCTTTCGTGCTTTATTGCGATAATCAGGGCAGGATGGGGAAGCCGTACGAAAATCGTACAATGGTTCGATCATTGGACGAAAAATGTCATCCGATGATCGCCAGCTGTATGGGCAGCCTAGCTGCTACTAGCAATTCCATGGCTTGGATAAAGGAAAACCTTCACCTAAGACATTAATAACAATGATAAACCAACTTCTTTGCAATAGATAAGGTATGATTGTATAAAACCATTTCGACCACGACTTCCTGCCCAAAAAAAACCAACCTTATTAATGCTCAAAGTAAATTCTGCCTGGTCACAGATTCTTTTTTTAGGAATTCATCCGAGACTGTTCTACGCCATTGTATTTTAAAGAAGAATGCTTAAAGAGCAAAGCGTGAGTACAAACCTTGCGGGCAATAATTAATAGAGATAGTAGTAAAAAATTCTAATGCTTGTACTCATACGCTGAAGAACAGAAGAACAATGAAGTGTAACTTGGAGTGATTACTTTTGTAAACACAGCACCGAGCCCTGAGGGCAAGAAAAATTTCAAACCAATGCTCTGTTCGAAGAGTAATCATTAAGTAATGTTAGATACAAAGCACAGGTATAGGGTCTAGGACAGGGGTAGGCAACCTTGACACTCCAGCTGTGATGAAACTACCTATCTCATCATGCCTCACCCTCTGGGAGTCCCCCCGAATACAAAGGTTAACTTATGTGTCTAGGTTACAAAAAAAGAAAGATTTACTCACCCAAAGCCCCAAGCCAGCTTCTTCTTAGACCGATCCCTGGAATGTCTCTCTCCCTCCTCGGTCTAAGGTCCAGTAAATCATCCCACCTATACACTGTGTATTGAAGTGAGGATGCTGAGGAACATTCCAATCTGCTGCAGAGGAGAAGACAGTCTGGTAGGGAGTGTTTGACAGCTGGCCTGCTCAGAATTTTGGGGAGAGTATATCACCTAGGCCAGTGGTTCTCAACCTGTGTAACCTCAGGACCCACATTTATCCCTGGTCATTAAGACATGACCCAAGTTGCACTGCAATGCAATGCACGGTATTGTGGTAACGCGTATTCCAGTGCAGGTGATCAAACTATGGGCGGGAGGTGCGTTTAGGGTACAATTCAAATGAATGGCAACGCACCTCCCGCACCAGAACGCGTAGTAGGTGCGATTGCGTGGTACAGTGCGTTAAGGACTGTTCAATAAACGCACTGTACTAGTGTGAATGAGCCAACACTCACAGAACACTGTGAACACTGACAGACAACCACAGACACAATCTCACACACTCGTACACACTGCAAAAAAAAAAAGTATATTTCTTTCTTTTTTCTAAGGTCCATACAGTCTCCCTACCTTATGAGAACTGGAGTGGATACTCAGCTTGGGGTCCAGTGTGGGCTGCTGTGCTGTGATGGAGCTCCATCCATATGTGCATTGCTTGTACAGCTCCCTTGTGCGCACTATAGCGGTGCCGGGAGTCAGAATGTGACGTCACTCCAGTCCAGGCACCTCTACAGGGCATGCGAGGGAGCTGTAAGCAATGCACCTATGGATGGAGCTCCCTCTGAGTTTCTGTAATTGAATGTATGGCACTGCTGCCAAAAAGCAATCTAATGACAATTACAGAAAGCTGGAAATTGGCTAAAAATCAGGGAGCAAGGGCTTCTGGGAAATATGTGAACCGCCTAATTCATAAAGCCAAATGTAGGGGCTGACACTGATTTCTTTATTTATTTATGCCGTATTTAGAATGTTTTGTTGCTCAGTAAATTATTGTAATGTGGGTGTCACATCACTCTATTGCAGATTTCATTTCAAATTCAAATTCAAAATGTAAATTAATACCAATATACCTTAATACAGATTGTGTTACCATGTGCTCCACCCGCTTTAACCTGTGTTACTGAGTGAGAGGTCTGAGTGAGGCCTTAAAGTGACACTAAACTCAGGAGTTAAAGTATCATTAAAGCCTCCGTTTTAAAAGAGGTCAATACTTACCTGTGTCTTCCCAGCGCGCTCCCGTCCGAAAATGTGACAATTCTCGGGCGGCCGCAAAGCATCTTGAGGAAGGCGCATGCGCAGTTCACATTTTTGGCCGGGAGACGAGGAGAGACACGAGGTAAGTCTGTGGACGCGTGCACCCGCATGCAGACACCGTGGGACAGGAAGTGCCAGCAAGGACAGAGGAGTCAGCGCTGGATCGTAGACCCGCAGCAGCGTTGGAGGGATAGATGAAAAGGACAGGAAAGAAGAGGAAGATCAGATTAAGAGACATTCTTTTAAGGTAAGTGCTTTAATTATCATTGGGGGGAGGAAAAACTTTCTTTGACTTTAAATCTTAAAAATGCATTCAATTATCCTATTAACAAAAATGTATCTTATTTGTGTATCACTCGGCCGTAGATACTCAAATCATCTCTGAATTGGTGCTGACACCGTCCTTCCTTCTGGAGGGTGGCTACTTTTGTTCCCCATGATTCCTGTGTGTGTTGTAAAGTGGCCACCAAGCCAGCAAGAGTTAATAAAAATTCTGCACGTTTTTCTTCTTAAAGTGGAAGTAATACTTCCAACCAAAAAAATTGCTGATTGTCAGTATTTATATGGCAGAAGAGACTGTAAGCCCTTGCAGCCTGCTGCAGAATGATGATGTCATCTTTTAGGCCTAGGCTTAGGTAAAGTCACTGATCTGGAGCTCGAAGAGTGCTTTTTAATCAATAAAGATAGAGCATTTGAAAAAAATGATACTGTTGCTGTATATTGTGAACGATCAGGAATTTATTCATGCAGCATTGTAAAGTTACTGAAACGTCCATTTCAAATATGGGAATTTAACTTTCCATTGAAAGATATTTGAATGATAAGGATCACGATACACTCTATCATGATACACTTTATTATCCACTGTATCCGTTTATTCTTAATTTTAAAACTTTGTAAAATGTATTTTAACAGGCGGAACTCAAAGTTTTTCCGACATTAGATTGATTTAAAGGTCATTCATGCAGTTTATGTACATAGTTACCTACGCATAAATGACTAATACTGTATCTAAAAGAAGATAAGGACATCTACATTCACAGAGGCAACAATAAGCATTTGTGAGACCAGAACAAGTGTCTCTGCTATAATTTGGTAACAACTTTCAATGAACACGAAAAAACAGAGCAGCCGTCATTATTTATTAAAAAACTATTTAATGGAAACAGTAACAGATAAAATGTTATAAAGTACACAGTACTGAAAAATCATCAGGAGCACTGGATTTTTCCAGTCTGAATGTTACAAAGGCATTATTTCTTAAGAGCCAATAAACACAAAATATATTGCATTGTGTAATAGACCTTATAGTAAACGTCATACTTTTTGTCAGTATGTAAGTAGCAGTAACAATATCCTTTGAGATATTAACATTGTGTTAACCTTTGCTGAGCAGCTACGAGCAAACTATTGTTTTCCAAACTGCTGGTTCAGGTTGATTAATGGAAGACTGCAGGAAGTCAGCTGTGTGTAGATACATATGTTCTCTTAAGACAGGACTTTATAATAAAAAAATTACAGGGTCACTCCACCCGGATGACTTATTGACCAACTAGATTATTTTATGTCTGAGGGACTCTGGTGGTAAGACCATTCAACTCCACCTGGTACAAGGAATGATGAGGATGTATTGCCCTACCTGTTAGATTATTTTTATTTTCTATTACGGAGAATGTAACTTGCTCAGTCAAACTCCAATATAGCAACTGAATCTTTCCAATGCAGTCCTAAGGGATGGATGAATTTGATGGCTGATTCAGTTCACAAACATCTACAAAATCATGTTGATGTTATTAGAAGTTTAGATGAAGCCTCAAAAAGAGAAACTCACCCGGACACAAGATAAAAAGCTGGGTCAAAGATAAAGACTAAAGCTTCAATAAAAAAAAAATGTATTGTTCCATGCAATGAACAACTTATGCCGAACTCAGCTTCACCCCTGACGCATGTTGCTCTGTGATTAGGTTTAATTTTAGAGCCATTTTGCCCACAAGGCAAAATGCGTCAAAGTAGGTGTTCAGTTTGCGAGATGGAACAATCATTTTTATTATAGATCTCATCTAATCTGTAGTTTGGCCTAAACCCCCTCTTCATCTTTTGTTTGGGTGATAGATGTATTCAGGCTTTGCCACTCGCAGCTGATCCCCATGGCTGATCAGGCATTGAGTTGTGTTATGTTATGCATTGTTATTAGAAGCTTACATATAGCACACCAATCTGTAATTCTGGTTTACTGGCATTTTACCGAATCCATATTAGAAACAGAATTCTGAAAATGTGTAACATAATTCTTTGCAAGCTGTCTGGTTGAATTTTAAATACATCTGCATATAGCATTAAAAAAAATAAGATTTAAAACATTGCTTTACATGATAGAAAGAGGTTTAGCAAGATTTACTCTGCACCATTGAGAAGAAGATGGAGCATAATGAATGCCATGAGTCTCCACAGTACTCTTTGGCCATTTTTTGCCTCTCAAGGACATCTGGGTCCTCCACACAGTCCTTTTCTGTGTTAATGTCAGGCTTGGGTGTTGGCTTAGGTTGTCCTTGCGTGTGATGCTTGGTTCTAGTTGTTGGCACACTGGAAACAATGTAACTCAAATGCGCCTCCGGTGGTCCTTTCTTGCACTCCTTAGATTTCAGCACAGCTTTTTGGTCCTGGCAAATGTTCTTCTGCTTTCTTAGTGCTCGAGTGATTTGTTTCCAGTAGGATTTTTCATTTGCGGCATACGTTGGGCACGCTGAAGGATTCCCGCCAAATGTGCAAGATATTTTAGTGTCCCCTTTAGTACAGTCAATGTTTAAAGCCACAGTCTCAGTGCCAGACACAGACCAAACACAATCTGCTTTCTCTTTGCTTACAAATTTCCCTTGAAGAGAACTTTTCCCCCCTTTGGAGCCTTTGCCCCTTTCTGCAGGGCTGGAGGGAGATTCCTTTTTCTCCTCTTTGTTAGATCCTCTCTGCTTCTGGTTTGTACCTTTTTCTTTGTCCTTTTTCCCTTCTCTTTGCTTATTTCCATCCACTGTGAGAATATGTGTTACCAATATGATGGTCACACCCAGGAGAGCAATCCTCTTCAGCCTCATGCTGACTTATCTGTATTCCTGGAGTAAGTAAAAGTAAAAATAAACATTACTAGCATCAAACACATATTTTAAAGACTCCTGCGCTGAGATCTGCCAACATTCTCCCCCTTCAGGGCAAGGAGGTTCACAACTCTCATTGCAGAAAGAGAAGTCTCAGTTCTCCTACTCGAACTACGGCAAAGGCAGTTTATTTTATATATTGTTTAAAGATATAAGTTATGCCATGGCAAATATAACAGGAAATGCCAGGACATACAAAGGTGAATGGGAACACCCAAAATGCCCAGGTCAATGGGAACAGAGTCATTCATTATTACAGGAACATTTAATTGTTGGAGTAGCCAAGATATAAGGATATTCACTCATGCCACCAGGATACACCAAATGTGAAGTACGGGGTGAACATACATACATCATCACTCAATATAAATCATTTTTTATCTTTTTTTTCTAATTTAAATACATGACACTATAAGAATGTTTCTTACATCTTCACTTTACAGAATAATTGTAGCTAATGGACACATTTGACAAGTTCTGTAATGTTTATTTCAAATAAAATATTCATTACAAAGAGATGAAAAGAAGAAGAGTGAGACTCTTGACCTGAGGTTGATGCTGAAAGCTCAGGCAATTTCTCCCAAGTTTTTGACCAATTCATTCTATGGGTATATGTCCAGAACAAGTGAACTGACCCTTTAATAAAGCAATAAGGGCAATCAAAAGCAGTTAAGGGCAATCCACAATGTGGATTCTGACTAAAAAAAACTGCAGCATAGTAGTTAACTTGCTGCCTTGTAGCTCTGAAATTTCTCCAAATCTGGTTGTATATTATTCTTTCCTTGTTTGCAAAGGTTTTCTTTTTGGTGATTACGGCTTATAACCACAGTCTAAAAACATGCTAGTAGGTGACTGACCTGGCCAAAAACACACTGTAGAGGGTTCATGCAGTTATATAACAGGCAGAGGCATACTAAACAGTAAGCACCACTACATCAGGCACTGATATGAAATCCTATGACAGGCAAAGGGTATGCTACACGATAAGTACCACTGCATCAGGTAGTGACATAAAATCCTATAGCAAGCAAAGGTATGCTACATGATAAGTACCACTACATCAGGTAGTGATATAAAATCCTATAGGAGGCAAAGGTATGCGACACGATAAGTTCCACTGCATCAGGTAGTGACATAAAACCCTATAGCAGGCAAAGGTATGCTACACGATAAGTACCACTGCATCAGTCACTGAAACAAATTCCTATCACTGTCAAAGGCATACAAGATGTTAAGCACCACTACAATAGCAACTACATGAATATATCTACATAGTGCTTGATGTAGTTGTACACCTTTGTATGCCACACAACTGCACAGACTCTCTAGAGTCAACTTTTGGCAGTAGTCAATTACCTATAAGCAAGCTTTTTTAAGTGCTGTGTATGTCATCACTGTGCAAATAGGGTAAAAAATGGAACTCTGCTTGCTTTAGGTTGCCCAACCTTGCTCACTTAATTTCTTCTTCCTAAATAATTTCGTTTGTGTTTTATCAATCACAGAAATATTGGTTAAAAATTGAACATTTGTATGGATTTTATAAAATCAATGCCTACCTTGTGTATAGGACAGAGATTTCCTCTTCTGATGTCTTCTGTTGCTGTGTTTGTCACATGTGTTACTAGTTGTAAATCAGCGGCATTTATAAAGTGTAGGGGACACACCTATGTGATAGATTACGTCACAGTCTCACAATAGAATGCAGTATGACACACCTTCTGGATTTAGGCCAGAACTCAGTAATACGTATAATTCCACGAGATGTACTACCTGACATCTACAGTGCCGGATTTCCTTTTGTTCTCGAATACTTCAATACTTTAGTACCAGCTTTGTGGTTACTGCGTAGAATTCTTTCTCCCTGTTGTTCTTCAACCACTATCTTCAGTCCACTAAGTGTAATACAAGCACTCTGACAATGTAGTAGAGCTGGTTTTCTGTTCCCTTTCAACATTTTCACCTGTAATGGTTTGTACAGTTTCAAATTATTTCCTCTGCTTAGTCAAATCTCTCTTTTCCCCCCAAGCGTTTTCTATATCCAGTAAGTGTGTATTTTGAATTATAATTGCAACATTAACTAATTTTTTTACCCACCAAACCCCCCCTTCCCCCAATGGAGAATGGCAGACCTGCAGGCTGCATACAAGTGATCTCGGCGACATGAATGTAGAAAACAACTACCCGCCCGGCGCTTGGAACTGCATGTCCCGGGCGTCGGGAGATAGGAACTCCACATCCCTGCTTCCCCTCTTGTCCCTGCTGTCCGAGGCCGGACCTTGGTTGGCTTTGTGGTAAATCCTGCCCTGAATGCAGCAGAACTCTAGCTGAAACATTTGGGGTTGATTTATTAAAGGCAAAGAGGCTGTTCAATTTGTAAGAGAATTTGCACTTTGTAGGGGTTTCATCTTAGTTCAGTGAATGAGGCAAAGCTATTCTGACTTCCATAACCCAATTTTGTGTAAGCAAATACACTGGAAATGAGGAAAGAAAAAACACCACTCTGTCTCGGAGTTCATTTTTTTTGAAGAGCAGAGACAGCTATCGGGTGCCCATCAAAGGAGCACGTCTTCGATCCGCAATTTAGACCAGTTGACCAGTCTTCCTCAACCAGAGTGCTGTGGCACCATAGGGGGCCTTCTGGCTTCCTCAGGGGTGCCTTGAAAATTTCACACAGCGTCATGTCTCTCCATGGTGCAGGCTGGCCAGCCGCCAGCACCATGGTAAAGAATGACTTTACTCCAAGGAGGGTGGGATCCATTCAGAATAGAATACACATTTACCTGTGTTCAGGCTTGCTCTGCCTCCCACCCTCTGCTAGGCTGTCGTTTTTTACATTTTAGACTGGGGTGCCTGGAGGTTTTGCATACTTTAAAAGGGTGCTGTGACTGAAAAAAGGTTAGGAAACGCTGACTTAGACTACTGAAACACCCAAACAGCTGCGCATTGATTAGATACCGTATAAAACACCCTGATTGGGCTTAATTGTAGAGATACCTCAATGTTTAAGGCCAGTCAATCAATCTTTTAATCCCTCTGGCTTAATTGTAGAGATATCTGTATGATTAGCCCGGATAAGGGTGAAACATGTTAGTGTTTGTGAAACAGAGGGACTGTGCGGCATGGCTGGAGGCAAATAAAGTTTGTTTTATGGAGTGATCTCATCGGTGTGTGGCTGTTCTGCCTCCCCAGTCAAAGGGTTCGGTTTTGGATAGAATGTTTAGAGTTTAGAACCTCTTTTAGGTTTTTATTTCTGTGTGTGTGTGTATGTGGAGGAGACTAAACACAACTTCCTGTTCCAGTGGCCCACATGCTAGCAAGGACACAGACAGCAACACAAAGGTTCTAACCCTTCTCCACTCTACTAATGCCTTTATTGCTGTTTACATTTCTGTTGCGCGGATTCACTTCAAGGTGATCTAATTTTTTGCCGCAATTTTTTGTAAATGGAGAAACATGCTGGTATTGAGCGGATTAACACATGGAGCTTTGTAATAGTGTAAAAGATACTTTAAATATATAGGTAATAGACAGAGGGAGGCGGAGGTGAAGGTGTTAATGCACAGGTCACATACACTGGGAGGGGGTTAATGTATAGATGTGCAGACTATGGGAGGTTAAAGTGTTAATATACAGGAAGAGCATAGATAGAATGGATCTAACCTAAACGGGGGGGGGGGGGGGGGGGGTTAAAATGGTTAAATGATTTGAACTTATTTATTCTTTTTGCCTCTGCTGCAGCTTGTTTTCACTAGGAAGTAATACATCGATGACTCATTCATTCATGACTCGCTTTACTCTCCCCTGCCTCTGATGTAAGAGGAAGAGGAGGACTTGGCAATGTACACATTGCCATGTGATCGGTGTGATAAAAAATGAGAGCGCTCACATAGAGGTATGACTGGCTCTGTGTCTAAAGCCGTGCCTCTCCACTGTCTAATGACAGCAGGAGCAGCGGTTGTGGCCACATGCATACAGGCATTCACGGGAGGACGTAATGGTATGTCCTCCCGGAACAATGGGGCAGCAGACCGGCTATATAGAGTATATACAGTGGCTGGTCTGCAGATGGTTAAGAGAGGAGAGAGGTGAAGCAGTGCTATTAAGTAGGAAGCAAAGTTTGTTTATGTAATACTAATAGGTAAATATGCCTGCCCTATATGTGCATTTAGATTTACAATCTACATACCTAGACATGTTTTTAAAGCATTAACACTGTGGGATATTATCACTAAGCAGATAGCCTTCAAATATATATATATA